ACGGCCGTGGCCATGAATTACCTCGCCACGCAGACACCACGGGCGCATGTTGTGCTGAAGATGATGTGTCATGTTTTCGAGGTTCTCGGAATGTTGGTTTGGTGCGTAAATGTAGATCGGTAAAAGTGATTATCTGTGTAAGAATGCACGGCTAACCGAGAGTATTCGAAATGATGGTAACAATAGTGACGAGGAGGAGAGGAGAAAAGGGTTGAATGTTGCCGTCTGTGTCCACCATACCACACCATATACGCAACAAGCTTATCCGATTACATTTAGCAACGCGACGAAGAAAAAATGGGGACGGACAGAGTGCATGGGTAAAGCCTCACGCCGCGAGTAGCGAGGTGAGCACATGCTTGATATCGGCAAACGGAACCCTGCCATCACCATCGGTATCCAATATGGCGAACACGTGCGAGAGGAGGGCGTGCCGGCGCCCACGCAGGGAGATGTGAAAAGGCGCCGACGCGAAATCGGCGGCGCCCTGCCCGGGCGCGCGTGGGTCTGGCCCCGCCCCAAGACCCACGAAAGGTCCCTCTCGATCCGCTAGCAGGAGATCGTCCAAGGTCACGTAGTCCTTGTCACCTGCGAGTGCCTTGAAGCAATCCCAGGCCGAGGGCAAACTGACCGAGCAGAGCATCTTCCCACCGCGTGCTTCAGCCTCGTTCAGCCCGCCCATGAAGAGCGCCTCCTCGTGCTCCGCGCAGGTCTGCACGAAGCTCAGAAAGGTGCGCTCATCGATACCCTCTCCCCCCGCACTGTTCAATTCGCCGGTGCAGCGACCGGTGTCCTTGTGCGCGAAAAGCCCAGAGAACAAGGAAGGAGAGGGCCTGTAGCCAAAAAGAACGTAGAAGGACTCCACACAGGCCCTTTTCCCTAGATAGCGCGGTGGTGCAGGAGCTGACGCTGACGCAGACGCAGGGGCAGGGATCAATGCGCTCGTGTGCACCACGTCGCCAGATCTGCTGCCCGCCGGAACAGGGACCGATAGAACCGTAAACAGCTCCTTCGCATAATCGGTGAATTCCCCCATGTTGCGGAACATCCCTACCTCGTTTCAAGTGTTTAACAGCGCAAAGAGCTCACCACGGGCATTCAGAGAGAGTATAAAACACACTAAACTTGAATGAAACGACACAGTCACTAAAAACGACTCAAAGTGTGGTACCCATATGCACAAACATGTATGTGTGCACTCAAGGGATCCAAAGAAATGAAGGCGATGGGTGGTAAAAAGAAGAGGCAAGTAACGCATCCAAAGCATTCACCCCAGTGCCACGGGGACAGGACTACAAGAACACAATCCTCAGTGAATGTATATGTTTGAAACATACGCTCAGATAACTTTATTATTGCTTAGGAAGAATTATTCTTGATGAAAAAAAATATCCTTTGATTTGAATTACAGTAAAATACGTTTATCCACTTCGTATAAAGAATTCATTTATTTGCAATATAGGAGGAAGAATGCTTGCATATAAGAATTTTAAATTTCAGTAAAATGCGGCAGATGTGCCATCATATCCTGCGTTAACTTTGAGTATGGAAGCATCAATTCATGCTTTTGGTACTTTTCGTGTTCAGGCTTCGCTAATTCGGCGTTGATTTTCATTATGTCATTGTCTATGGCCGCAATGAGTGCCTCAAGAGAGTCAAACGAGGTCTGCACACGTACGATATCCAGCGCGATTATACGAATGATTCTCCCGTAAAAGTTCTCGGGAAAGACATGCAGGAAGTGCGCCTCCGCACTTAGCGTAGTTTCTTTGAAGTGTATGTTAGTTCCGACCGACAGTGCCATGGGAAACGGGCCAAGATGCTCGCCCTTAATCTGGGTTTCCGTCGGCTTCGTGCCAGCGTCGCCGGTACCCTCGCTGGTCACCTCTGGTTCAATGCAGCCCCACCCAAACATCACGGTTTCAGCGTACGGGGTCAAGCTCTTAACGGTCGCTTCATCCAATTTGATATTGGCCGTAGGGTAACCAAGTTGGGTGCCGCCACGGCCGTGGCCATGAATTACCTCGCCACGCAGACACCACGGGCGCATGTTGTGCTGAAGATGATGTGTCATGTTTTCGAGGTTCTCGGAATGTTGGTTTGGTGCGTAAATGTAGGCCGATAGAACTGATGATTTGTGTAAGAATGCACAGCTTAATTTGTGTATTTTAAAATATGTAAGCATATAGTAGAGAAAGCGGAGGAAATAGGATTCGGTTGTGTTTTTTTCTTGCTTTAAAAGTTAAAGGTGTAGCTTTCGGTTGTTTTTTAATTCTTTTGGTAAAAAGGCGTTACTTAATTTTCTTGAATTTTGAGCAATAAGGTTTAACACAGACTCTGTGTTTCATAAATATGTGATACTCAAGGTTAACACTAATTTTTTGGTCAGCTTTTGTGTCTTTGTGTGATGTAAATATAAGATAAAGAATTCCACAGCTCTAGACATTGATTTTCGTTTTTAGTTATAATAATTGATTGCATTGACTCCCGGCTGCATGACGGATAACTTTTGTTTTTTTCTTTCTCCACCGAAAGTATTCTACATGACTAAATGCACGAAGGGTCTTGCATAGCAAAAGACTCAATCTTGTCTTTGAGGATGAAATTTTGGCAGTGAATATCATATTAGATTTCAGATGTAAAAATCATTGAAGTAGTTTCAAGCACTACTTGAATCTTTGTTTTACTATATAATTGGAAAGATGAATTCACTCCAAAAATGGAACAGTTCTAAAATAGCAAACAAAAACGCATTTTTATATGTAAGAATTTCTGCATTTTTTTATTTCGAAATCTGCCTCAAAAAAAAAACTCTCGCCGAAATTAATGAGGAAAGAGACACACATCGAAATCTGTTCCCTGGAACGTATCAGTTTACAGACGAGGATAAGTTTTGGCATACCATTTAATCATTGCGCTTTATGGCTGCATCCTGCATTACCTAACGGCCACCTCTACGCCTTCCATACTTGCCTTTGTTACCGCCACCAGATTTACCATTGACGTTCTTGGGTGGCGTTCGTTGCCCCTTCCCATTGTGATCTCGATCCGGCTCCAATAAAACAAACTCAGCTGGAGTTGAATCCACGCTCATCATCTGCTCCAGCAGCCACTCCTCCTCCTCTGAGTTCAGGCCTTCGTCTGGGTTTACAAACAAGGATTCTTCCTGGACAACTCCACCACCTCCGTAATCATTTAGTGATTCTAGACAAAGTAACTGTTCAATATACTGTAGTCGTTCCTCACCAATATCGTTGAAGGTTGCGAAAGCGGCAGAAACCGCCGGAGATGACGATGCACAGACCTGAGATGCTACGGGTTGTTGGTCTTTGGAAGAAGAAGTACATCCCGGCTGTTTTATATCAGCAATCTGAGAAAGGTGATGATAGTACAAATGTTGTATATCCTCTGGTAGACAATCCATCAGCATGTGAACCTCATCCTCAGTCATGTTTACAAGCTGACTAGCCCATAAATCAAAGTGATCTTTACGAACTCGATCATTGGCGCAATGAGCACGATTGTGTGGCTTAGTATAATTCCATTTTTTAGTTTTATTCTGTAGTCTGTTTATTGCAGTTGTGCAAGGTTGAAATATTGAATCTTCTTGCGAACTCAAAGGCGGTGTAATAGGGTAACTGCCCACGCACTCACTATCTATTGGTATGGGTGACGTATTATCATTGTGTCCTTTATCATGCATTTTCAAAGGGTTTGAGGGGATGCCTGGACTTCGCATAAAGGAAGGAATGAAAGGCTCTGCCTCAGTTGATAACTTGTAAGTTTTTGCATTAACTACATTGTGAGCCTCAATAGCAACGGAAACGGGACGCACCGTAGAGATAGGTTTCCCTTCTGCACCTGAAAATTCCGTAGAAGAAAACAATAAAGGCGGCTCATTTGGGGGTTGCATTTTGAGACGTATCGTCTTTGTAGTTCAACGCGCGTTATACAAACGTGAATTTAAGGAAATGGGCACAACGTAGCGCTTCCTAAATGAAAATTGAACTATCAAATAGTATCTATGCTTGTATATATATGTATATAATTGAAAATTTTATAAGCCTGACAGACAAGTTCATTTAATTAAAGATGAAAGGAAATAAAAACGTCCATGTTGAGAATATTACAAAGTCTCATTCTTCTTTTTGGCTGATCAGCACCCAGCCTATAACAGACTTTACCCCTCCTTCCCGTTCATATTACATAGCCTACGCAAGCAGATGGAAAGAATCAGTTAGTTTACCCTAAAACGTCAGGAAGGCTCGTGAAAATCACATAAGCCTTTTCAGTAATTTGTTCCCATGTCTGGGTTGTAATAATCATAATCTACAAGAATAGTACACAACTGTTTGAAATATACTCACCTTGCTGAATAATTTCCTCCTGACCGTTCAGGTGCTTGTGTATAGTTATTCCACCATCTAGCAGCAGAGCCATGAGAATGGAAAAATTTATCCACAACAAAGTGCATTAAGTGTTAAGGAGCAAGCGTATGTGAGAGGCACGCAAAAAGGATGAAAATACAAAAATTTTATGAGCATGAAAGCACCAAAAGGATAGAAGGAAAAAGCAGCTATGCACCAAATTCCCCCTTTACTTCTTCAAAAACGTGTTTTGGAATTCAACAGTGTTTTGTGTCGAGAAGAATATGCCCTTTGAGTCCCCGCTCCTACCGTCTTGGGGAGTTACCCTGAAACCCAAAAGGCAGTCCGCATTTTTCCAATGCACCGCGTACGAAATCCAGCAGACAATAAACCAGGAAAAGACTGAGAGGACGTGGTAAGGTAAAGATTTCTATCAAAGACGAGTACATAGTGAATGGAGACGCAAGAAGAAACCCAATCACTAAAGAAAACATAAAAACTAACCCAACCTTTAAGACCGTTTCCATAAACTGCCACAGGAGCAGACTCTTAGAGGGCATCTCTGGGATTTCCCAGTAGACATGGGAACTACAGGGATGCGCGTCGGCACTTGCTTGGCCACTTCTATTGACATTTAGATCCCCTCTATCACACGCATCGATGCATAATGCACCGCATGCGCGTATGGAAGGGGGAACCTGCAAGAGGGACTCACGCTGATCAAGGGTTGTGTCCAGATCATGAGTTATAGCTGGAGACGAAGACGTTATTCGCGCTCCCGCGGCTTTACCAGATTCTTCACCTGTGAAACGCAATGCTCGGTAAGCAGCACCTTCAGCGCCAGTTTGGTTTGTAGAACCGGCCCGTGATGGTTGAGAAAAAGATAAAAGTAAAAAGAACTGGCTTACCTCTGTCACATTAACGCAAAATAAGTAGATTAACGAATCTTTGAGGCGATTCCACTGGAAGATGACACCTACCTGGATAAGTGCGACGACGAAGCGCAGCGCGCAGTCCACACACAGCCTTTTTTTGCGTGTTATGGATCCGATTCTCGTCAGAGCGGGGCGATAATCTGGAGCATATGCGCCGTCACCTGAAAGAAGAAGAGGAACTTTAGAGTGCGCGCCGGATAGGCTCATGGAGGGAGCTTCATAGGACAAATCTTCCCTGCGCGTTGTAGTTTTCGCCGCCCCGTCAACCCTCGTGAAGTTGATCGTGTGGATTCGAGGAGAAGCGCACCGCTTCTCCACTCCAAAGCAGACGTCTTGCGAGAATGGTGATGACGTCGTCGCTTCCCGTGTGGAGGCGTCTCCGTTTCGTTGCACGAAAGGTAATAAATACCTAGAGACGGACTGCGACGCGCAGAATGCACCTCCTGCTTGCTCATCAATCCCCTCCTCCTCTCTGGCGATATCGGCGTGGTAGGCGTCTGAGTTGCTTAAAAGAGTTTCATTGAGCGTTTCCGTGTATGCGTTTACCCTGTGTCCCGCCGCTGGGAGCAGATTTGTGCTGCTTGTAGCTGAGGTTGGATCGACAGGCTCATCGTCCACCCCATCCAAAATCCAATGCACGCCATTGGAGTCGAGCAGGCGAAACACATCGCTCTCGCCGCACCTCCCCATCACCACGTAGGAGAGAAAATCTGTCTGGTAGACAACACGCGATGGGTAGAAGTAGGAGACAACGGCACTAATAGCATCACCGTGGGTCACGAGACAAATCGTACGCGCAACCCCCCCGGTTTGCAGTTGAAAGTCGCCATCAACATCTATCAGATCCTCCTCAAAATGATTTCCCGATGCCAACGTGACGCCGTGGTTGGCTTGTCCGTACTCATGATTTCCTCCGCACAACGTAGCGCGATTCAACGCCCCCTTGTCAGTGATCCGAACACTTGAATTCGCCAGATCGGATTGGGATGAGGAGCTACAATGATATCGACTTGAGTTGCTCAAAAAGCTTCCTACGAAACGTCGGAATGCCTCTTCGATCGACTCCCCCCATGTGGGCAACGCACCATGCCCTTCTGCAAGTGTCGTAGGGGGAGTGCTGGATTTAATATGTGTAGGGCCAAACACCTCGCAGAGGGTGTTGTCAACGAACATCACGCGATCGCTTCCAATGCCGTTGAGCTGCAGTGCCTTGGCTGTTTCCACTGTTCGCAGAAACGGCGAGACAGACAAAAAAACTGACTGTGCTTTGATCTCAGACCCAAAGATGGATTTAAGCTGGGAAGCTACTCGCGCCACATCCATTTTGCCAGACTCTGTCAACGGTGGATCCAACTCCAATGCGGAGTTGGGGTGCGTATCACGGCGCTCACCATGCCGCATAACTATAACTTTCTGTGTGATGCCTGCCTCCGAGGAAGTCGTGAAGCACGGCATTTTTATCCGTTTCTCAGTAAATTATAACGAGTGTGTTTTTTACACACGAAAAAGCAAAGCTAAAAGAAACGATCTGTGATGTCTATCCTGTAGAAAAATTGATGTGAAGCATCCTAGTAATGAAGGAAGCACTATTCTCCTCAATAAGGAAAAAACATTTGTGTGACACATAATTTGCATAATTCATATGCAAGTACATATCAACGATAAACAAAATTAATAAAGGAAAGCAATTTCCTAGAAAAAAAATATGTACAAGCGGCCTTTAGAAAATGTCACGCGATGCTTTTCCCCTTGTATCATATTTTTAATTCTAGCACACATTTGTTTGCAGCGTTATTTTTTAGTTAAATAAAAATATTTCTTAATTGTGTAGGCGATTCTTGTCTGTCTTTCTAACCTCTTGAAGTCATCTTCTTCATTGTCTTTAGATAATGCGCTCTTTTTAACTGGTCAAGATTCTCGCTCCAAGTAACCAACTTTTTCATTTTACAATATATATATATATATATATATATATTGAATCCTTAGTTAACATTTTTGGACAAGTCAGGTCCAAAGGCAGTGAAGAGAAACTGCTCGAAAGGGATTAGTTTGAAGACTTTACAATATCCCCTTCCTCTTTCGCAGTCTACACATCAGGATGGGATCATGGGGGTGGGGGAGGTGGGGGTGGTGGCGGCGGCGGCGGTGGCGGTGGTGGTGGTGGTGGTGGTGGTGGCGGCGCGATCGGCGTCAAGGCCTCCCCAGGAGTTCGGATATACGGTGGCGGCAGGCTGTACGGAGGTGGCATCACAAGATTCACTTCACTC